AACGTAAATTTTAGCAGCACATCTATAGAAGTTTACTCTGCTTCAGTCTTAAACTGTTAAAAAATGACTAATAGTAATAAAGTGCAGTAAATTTCAGTTCATTATTAAATGGAACAACTAAAACAAAGTCTTAGAAGAACCACAGTGAAAAATAAAATGCTTTTACAAGAAACTTCCTTCCATATTCTGCTAATGTCTTAGTTTGTCCTACAAGAAAAAAAAACAGCATTGAAGTTACTGCAACAACAGTGCTGTTTATGAAGGCTACTGCTGGCAGCAACAAACTCTTTGAATTCTTTGTCATGTCTTGTCCTCAAATGTTTAATCAAATTGCTGGTGTTAAAACATCCAACTTTCGCTCCTCCCCTTGACAGTTTAGCAGAGCACAGCAGCCAAGTCTGCTTGTTTGGTGCCCTCATTTGGTGAGGTACACTTCGCTGCAGCATGCAGAACGGGGCGGTGACAGACCTTTCCATCAGTCCCATACGTTATATGGAAATGGGACTATTGCATTCCGGAAATGAAGGTTGCTCCTTAAAGACGCGGGATTAAGAGAGCAAAGGAAGAAGAAAGGAAGAAGTTAGAGAGTTTCTTCTACTGACGTTGAAGTACTCAGAGCATTATTGATTAATTTCTTTTATCCACCTCCCCAAACACAGACCCTCAGGTTAACCTCACAGGTTTAATGCCTAAGGTTAACCTCACAGGCCTAATGCCTAAGGTTAGTTTGTTGCTGTAATATAATTTTAATATCCAAAAACAACAAAGATTTAATAAAGATTTGRAAATGAAAAAGGGACATACCACGTGACATAACACGTTGTGTAGCCATTTCCTTACTGTAAAATTTGTATTGTTAATGTTGATAGTGTTCGATAGAAAATAKTGTCACTAGCGCCCCCTKCATTTCCGGAATGCAATAGTCCCATTTCCATATAAGGTATGGGACTGACGGAAAGGTCTGTCACCGCCCCGTTCTGCATGCTGCAGCGAAGTGTACTTGCATTTGGTGGCCGATCTTAAAATATCTCCAAACTGCCGACGTTACTTCTTCTTCTTCTCATCGTTCTTCTTCTGTTATTCGTGGGTGCGGTCGGAAATAACTTGTCAGTGCATTAGCGCCCCCGCCTGGTATGGATTGTTGTTTACCCTTTGTGCTGCAGCGCAGCACAGGAGGAACAAAAAAGGGGACAAAAGCGATATCGGTTAAGAGTATCGGCCGGCTTTTACGAGTACGAGCACTTGATGCTGGTATCGGACCCGATACCGGGACACCTCTAGTTTTAGCTCCAACAAAGTCATTACCAAAGTGTCTGTACTGAAACCTTGACATACAGTTAATGATCAGCTGAAGGATGAAGCATCTCTCAGGTCCTGACACTTTGCTTTTGCCCTCCTTTTGTCTATTTTTCCTGTTTTGTAAGTACATCTTTCACAATATGGTGACAGTTCTGTACAAGAACTGAACAGAGAGTGGAAAAAGGCATCCAAAATTCAAGGAAATTACTTGAAAGACCTTCAGAAAGTCTAAAAACACTTGATGAAGACTATAAAAGATTGCACAATAGTCTGGCACCTTGAATGAAATTTTGGAAGAACTTACGAATAGTAAAAAAAAATCAGAGTTGCGCAGATATGCTTGATATAACACCATATTTAGTGATTTATTCCTTTTTGCTGCTTCTAGTTCTTCTAAAAAGACTGTTGATTTGATTAAAACGCACTTGTAGCAACTGGTATCGCAATTCTAGATTCTAGAATTGTAGATATAAAGTAACATTTTTAAGAATTTCCATATCTTTGTATTTATAATAACCTATGTTGGTTGGATCATAAAGACTGTTGGTGTGTTCAACAATATATTCAGACAGACAAGCATTGAAATCGGACCGCTTCTTGTGAAATTTGGGAATTATTCATTAATCTCAATTTCAACACAGAACACTCGGCTGTCTCTAAAGGAATGCAGATAAAGAAGGTTAGACTCCTGAAATCCAGTGTAAAACAAAACAAGCAGCACAGATGATAGTGTAACTTATTGCAAACATGAAGTGACATGACATCTAAATATTACTAAAACATTACATTACTGCTGTGTGATTTCAGCAAATCTTTTGTGACCTGCCTTCTAAGAACATTGCAAATGAATGGATTGAATTGTGTTGCATTTTTTATTAAAAGCACAGAAGCCTACATGTGACTTTTCAACAGAAATGTTTTGATCTGTAAATTCTGGCTTGTTAAGAGATGCGTGATGTATTTATTAAACAGTGACTCACTTCAGAACAGCTCAGCTACACTGAATAGATAACAAAACCAATGCATCTGTATCTTAAGACTGAAAAAGATCTGAGAAATAAGACCAGAGCTTGACTGCTCCACCAGGAGGAAAGAAAACTAAGCTGTAGGGGTCTATTGACCCCCATTTTCTCTTGGACTCTGTTGATGTATGCATCCTGTTTCCTCGCAAAGACCTATCATGGACAGTGCGCATCTCAAACCATGCTTGGCAGCTCCATTATATTTCACCCAAGGCTCTCAGACAAACTGCTCTTCTCGTTAGCACTTGGTTTGGGTAGAAAAATAATCAGATACAATATGACATTTTGTTTTAGTATGGGTTCAACCTGACAGCTCTTTGTGTGGAGTGGATTTTTTTTTTTTTTTGTTGTTCTTTGTGATTTTTCTGGAGTCACAATAGACTGTACATAAAAATGGACATTGTAACATGATGTATTGATTTGTTAGCTAATATTTTAATTATCCAAAAGTGGTACTGGGTTGTTGCTGTTTTGGATTTTAGGATGCAGAGCGCTACAAACAAAGAAGGGATTTGATTGAGTTCTCAAAGATGCACAGTTTACTGCAGTGATTATCAACCTGTGGCCCCTGAGCTCATCCTGTCCAGCCTGCAAAGAGTTAAATTATTATGCATACTCAAATACAGGAATAAGTTAAGAATGATGGTGCCTTATCCAATCAAAACACTCACTCACTGAATGTGAGAAGCTAAAAAGTTAGTTTTTTATTATAAATAAGAAGCAGGAAATAGCAAAATCAAAATGATTTAACACAGCCTTCATGTACAAATGGTGTTTGCCACAATAAGCTTGTTCTTCAGTTTGTTAGAAGAAATGATCTTCAAAAGGACCATTCAACAACATTTTTACTAAAATTTTAATTCATTTCCCTGCAGGACTAAAAAAAAACATTTGTCTCGATAATTCAGACTTAAGACAAGAAAGACTTGAGTTTGAGGTTAATGAAGGGATTTTGAGAGGATTTTAATTTATGCTGATGACCCATGGATTTTTACTGCTGTGTTCAAATTTGCATAAACAGCAATTTTGTTTTCAAGGATTGTATCAATTTATGAACCTTTGTTTTGTTCTGTCTTTTTCTCCACTCTTTCCTTTTTAAATTTTTTTTATTTAAATTTTTTTGTTTCCCTTTGGTCTTTCGTCGCCCCACTTTTCCACATCAGTCTGTGTTTCGTAGCTCTCCGCTGCTGGGCTGCTTCCTTTTCGGCCTCCCGCTCGGCGTGATTAGCCTGATGTGCTACGGCATCTGCACGGCTGAGACCGATGACGGTTTGGAGGACGCAGACACGCTGAAAAGGGAGGGGCTGACCGACGAGGAGGAGGAGGAAGAGGAGGAGGAGCGGCAACGCACCGCTGAGCTGGAAGGTCCTGAAGAGGATGAGGATGTTGGTGAAAAGGATCCTGAGGAGAAGAAAACTGATTAACACAGGGGCGCACATCAGATAGAGGATGATTGACCCAGTCAGACGTGGTGACCTGAAACTCAAAGACGGATCTATGTGATACCGTTCTTTGTTTTTCATCTCACTTTCTCCTCAAAGCCCCTCTAGCACAGACTGTTCTTCTTCTCAAGTTCTATGTATTGATATATGAGGCTGACTGCTTGGCAAAGCCTCTGAATTAAAAATAACAGTCTTTTCAATTATGGAGTGTATACAATAAACAGGAAAACAAGGGATGGCAGTGAACATACCATCTAATTTATTGATATTCACCCATGTGATATGCTACACTCGCTTTGAAGTTTTGTCATTATTTAGAAAACCCTTAGATTATTGCAGTTTTTTTGTCGTATCCCAAAGTTTTTCTTTTTTCTTTTTGATTTCTGATCTAGTAGAAATGGATGAATCTTGCCTTTAAAATCCAATGGAGATGGACTTCATTGTTTTGTTTACTTTCACCATATCTTTTGACCTAAGCTGTACCTGGTGTTTTACTGAACTGAGTAGAGTGCAAAAGAAGTGCCCATGGAGGATCTGCCATAAATCAAAATGTGCTTTCTCTATCGTACATTGTTGCCTGAAAACCTTTCTTCGTCTTGTTCCTCGAGGGTTGCAAAGTGCCGAGACAGTCGTGAATTTTAACCTGCTTTTCTGTCAGCCACCTGTCAATTTGTGTTGAAGGATGATGAAAAAATATCTGGATTTGTAATTTCCATCACTGTTCGTGATACCAAAATAGGTAAGTTGTTTATTTATTTATTTTTCTTTCCCCATTTCCACTAGAAAATGACCAGTCTGCTGAAAATTCCTTGTACCTGTCAAGCAAAAGCCATAACATGCATCAACGGCTCCTGTGGCTTCGAACAGCTTTTTATTCCTCAAATAGACAGCAGCTGTCTGTTTGCATGTTTCATTTTGTCCTCCATCACTGGTTGCTTTATAGAATTTGTCTTGGCAGGTTGAAGTGTACATCCCAGTGTAGTGAAATGTACACAAAAAGAAAATGATATAAGAACTTTTTTTTACACTCTTATGTTGTCAGTTTGTCTCAAGGCTATTTAAATCCCACTTTCTTCTCTTTCACTAAAGCTATGTATTAGCTCAAATCCATAGAGAATTGTGGATTCTTCTTTAATCCACAGAGATATTTTTAAGTATAATGATGTTTTTTTTACGGATAATCCACATAAATCTAGATTAGGTGAAACTGAGACCGTTGAAGCATCTTTCAGGCTTACTAACCCAAGTAATAGAGATAGGCTCTTAATCATTTCTTTAAAAAAGCAGAATATGCTTTTTGTTCAACTTTAAATATTTAAAATAACATACATATTTCCTTTCTTATTCATGAATAGTTAAGAACGCTCATTTGATTACAATTTTTAACTCCTACCAAAATGGAAACCAGTTTAAAATCTATAAAAAGGCCACACCAAGTCTTTCAGATGATAAAATCCAAGTTAATTTAATAAACATAAAGAGGTGATATTTTATCTTCAAAATCCTCCTCATAAACATGTTTTTACCATATGGGGTTCATCTAATTTCCACTGTGAAATCATGCTTCCCTTGCCTTCTGCTCTTTGTAGTTGCCTACAGTTTTCTTCTAAATGTTTTTTTTTTATATTTTTTTAGGTTTGAATTAAGATTGTCTTGTTTTATTACAGGTTTGAAAGATTAAAATAAAAAAAATGTTCCCCAACACCCATTCCCCCTTTTTTTGACAAGTGTCTTATTTAAAATGTTAAGTTATTTATGTATACAGTGTTTTAAAGAAAAACTTTTTAAAATAGTTTTCTGATAGTCTGTCTATTTGAAATACTTCATTCATGTTCCTGTAAACAAGGTAACGTAGGTACAGTGGTTTGCAAAAGTATTCATACCCCTTGAACTTTTCCATATTTTGTCACATTACAACCACAAACATAAATATATTTCACTGGAATTTAATGTGAAAGACCAACACAAAGTGGTATACAATTGTGAAGTGGAAGCAAAATTTTACATGAATCAAAACATTTTTTACAAATAAAAAACTGAAAAGTGCGACGTGCAAAAGTATTCAGCCCCCTTTTCCCTGAGTGCAACCAATTGCATTCAGAAGTTGCCTGATGACTGCTAATGACTCAAAAGGGTCCACCTGTGTGTAATCTAATCTCAGTACAAATACAGCTGCTCCATGACGGCCTCAGATGTWGGTTAAGAGAATATTGGGGAGCAAACAGCATCATGAAGTCCAAAGAACACACCAGACAGGTTAGGAATATGGTTTTGGAGAAGTTTAAAGCAGGCTTAGGTTATAAAAAGATTTCCCAAGCTTTGAACATCTCACGGAGCACTGTTCAATCCATCATCCGGAAATGGAAAGAGTATGGCACCACAGTAAACCTGCCAAGACAAGGCCGTCCACCTAAACTTACAGGCCAAACAAGGAGATCACTGATCAGAGAGGCAGCCAAGAGGCCCATGGTGACTCTGGATGAAATGCAGAGAGCCACAGCTCAGGTGGGGGAAACTGTCCACAGGACAACAATTAGTCGTGCACTACACAAATGTGGTCTTTATGGAAGAGTGGCAAGGAGAAAGCCATTGTTAAAAGAAAACCATAAGAAGTCCCGTTTGCAGTTTGCCAGAAGCCATGTTGAGGACACAGCAAACATGTGGAAGAAGGTGCTTTGGTCAGACGAGACCAAAATTGAACTTTTTGGCCACAATGCAAAACGCTATGTGTGGCGGAGAAAGAACACTGCACATCACTCTGAAAACACCATCCCCACTGTCAAATATGGTGGTGGCAGCATCATGCTCTGGGGGTGCTTCTCTTCAGCAGGGACCGGGAAGTTGGTCAAAGTTGATGGGAAGATGGATGGAGCCAAATACAGGGCAATCTTGGAAGAAAACCTGTTGGAGTCAGCAAAAGATTTGAGACTGGGGCGGAGGTTCACCTTCCAGCAGGACAACGACCCTAAACATAAAGCCAAAGCTACAATGGAGTGGTTTAAAAAAAAGAATATTCATGTGTTAGAATGGCCCAGTCAAAGTCCAGACCTAAACCCAATTGAGAATTTGTGGCAAGATCTCAAAACTGCTGTTCACAAACGCTCTCCATCCAATCTGACTGAGCTTGAGCTGTTTTGCAAGGAGGAATGGGCAAGAATTGCAGTCACTAGATGTGCAAAGCTGGTGGAGACATACCCTAAAAGACTTGCAGCTGTAATTGCAGCAAAAGGTGGCTCCACAAAGTATTGACTCAGGGGGGCTGAATAATTTTGCACATCGCACTTATCAGTTTTTTATTTGTAAAAAATGTTTTGATTCATGTAAAATTTTGCTTCCACTTCACAATTGTWTACCACTTTGTGTTGGTCTTTCACATTAAATTCCAGTGAAATATATTTATGTTTGTGGTTGTAATGTGACAAAATATGGAAAAGTTCAAGGGGTATGAATACTTTTGCAAACCACTGTATGCAGGGCTTGTTACATCAAAATCACAAATATTGATAGATTGATCATTTGCTGAAAATCAGCCCCTTTCAGCCATTTGTCCCTCTCATTAACTTATGACTCAAATATTTCCAAGTGTCCGTATTGCTCCATCGTATGTAAATTTACAAATGGAACTTTTGAATCCTCTTTTCCTTTGTCTTTAGATTGCCTGTCTGTTTTCCTTCGAGTCATCTATGCGTCAWACTTCAATTAACAGCAATAAATACGTTTTTTCGTTTTTATTTTATTATTTATTTTCCCACCAGTACAATTGGGTGTAGAGTTGTCTTCTCAATTATTGCACATATAATCATATTTTTGGAGAAATAGGTTTAACCACGGCTGATCGCATTACTTGATGGGGAAACTCATTATTTTCTTCTCTTTAGGGAATCGCAGCAATCACAAGCCAAACTCAAGAGACGTGACTTAACATAATGAGAAACTGCAATGGACACGGCCAACTTCCCTTCTGAAGCATAGGGAGAGAAATCCAGAACAGAAAATGGTTATTGGGTTTGGAAAGTTTGTTTGGTTGATTCCTGGCCTGATAAAAGAGGAGATGTTCATTTTCCACAGGATGTCATTGTGAGGAGAAATTACCACAAAGGGAGAGATAATACATTACTACAGCAGAATCAGTGTCATTGAGTGGTACTGGTGCAAAAAGTAATTCATCGCTCAATTACCTCACTGCATTTTCTGAGAATGAGTTTCATCGTGAGGCAAATGAAGGAGGCCTGCTGTCTCTTTTCTGTCTGAATACTAACAATCTCGCGCACAAGACAAGGACAATTACACTGTGCTGCTCGTTCTGCCTCGCGTCGAAATGGCAAATTAAGGCGAGGTGGTAATCATCTAATTTCTGAATCACATGGGAGGTGTTTTAATGCTCGAGGTTCGCCAGCAGGGTCAAGGTAAAGAGAGAAACTGTTATTTCAGTTAATGCCTCCGCCCTGCATTTCAAGGGGATTCTGAGCTCGGTTCATGTCACTCAACGAGATGAAAAATGGCTGATTAGCTTTGCTCACCATAGAAACCAACCCACACTTGTTCTCTGTGAGGCTTTTTGGATCCTGTAGCAAAGCCTGCATTTTTGTTGCATTAAAGCTGATAGATGGCTGCAGCTGCTGAAGTCCATCTGTTTGCTGCCACTTTAAGAAAAATACCTCAAAACCCAATTACACGAACAATGTTTGCAAATCTGATCTCTTAAGATAATGTCTCCCCTCAGTAAACGGCTCTTTAGCTTGTGCTTTTTTTCTTCCATTATACATATACAATTATTTTCGGCAAAGGGAATTCAACTCAAAACTTCAACACGGCGTAATAGCTGCCTGTCAGCCTGTCAGTCGATAGAAGGTGCATGTTGCTGTTGTTTCCTTCTGAACAGCTTGACACTTTTGCAAAGTTTTCTTCATGCCACATTGAAAATGACAAGAAAAAAATGCAAAAGCAGTTGCTGCCCATCAACATAGCAAGAAACGCAATCTTGCATGAGTCAGTTACTGAAAGGAGTGGGGTGTGATGGAAAGCAAATAGGGCAAGAGGAAAAAACTTGTATAGGTCCTCTGGACGGGTTCTTCTTTAATGAAACGTTTCGTCTCTCTTCCAAGAGACTTCTTCAG